TACAGAGCTTTTCTCRGTAACAGCAGATGAACAGAATTTACACAAGACAGAGATGGAATTGGGCAGATTCATAATCATAAGAAAACTGATATCAGAGCTTACTGGAAGGTAACACAGCACAGAAAACTAGCTAAGATCCCATCATAGGGCAGCCACTGACCCTTTGTACTATTTTAGTTCTTGTAGCTTTCTTATTGCATGCTTTGAGAAATCAGGCATTTATCTTATACTATTTTCTTATCAATTAGTAAGATTTAACTGAAGTCTAGTTAATAGAAGAATGTTAAAAAGTTGGCATATGCRAATTTTTTAAAATAATTTTTAAATAAGCATTAGTTAAATACTCAAATGAAATACCTTGGGATCTCAAAATTATCCTATCTTAAAAATTCTTTGACTTTTTCTCTACCTTGAAATAGCCTCTATACATCTTCACCATGCATGAACATTAATACTAACCCATACGTATAGGAAATGTTGTAAGGTGTCAGTTTGCCTAAAACATCACAGAAGAACAAATTTTATAGGAAGGAGTAACATAAGACCAAACAATGTAGGTGGGAGTGGAACCAGCCTGAGCTTGCAGGCTGATGCACCCTGTCAGTCTGATATCATGGCCATTTCCAGCTCAAAAAACASGAGGCTTGAGAAACACCCGTTCTTTTCTTAGCTACATCAATTGCCTAGTAAAAGATGCCACTTCTCCCTTTCATTCCTATTCTGACAGCAACAGGCCACCAAACAAGTGGCAACTGCCCATTCCCCGAGAAGCAGAGATGCTTTTCAGAAGCCGATGTCACAGCTATAGCCTCCACCACGTTCTGCATGAGGGTTGTTGCTCAGAAACAGGAACATATGCTAAGCTAGTCCTGCCATTTCTGGAACAAAGTTTCAAAAATAAATAAATAAAAGGGGGGGAAAAAAGCAAATCCCTCTAAATGTGCAACCATTTATGTTGCATACAATTTTTATGGATGTTTGAGCAAAGATGTTTGTAGGAATAAACACCCACTGACACTGGCTTTTTTCAGCTGGTATTTATGAACACAAACATGCATGCAGAGCCTTATGCCCTCCATCAGACCTCAACAACATTTATTCCTATGTTTGATTAATAAATAGAGAGATACTTTAGCATTAAAAAATACTGTTATTTTGTGACAACTCAGACTACACATCCTCAATACTTACACAGTGCCTGGGCGACAGATCCCAAATCCCCTTGTTACTTCCTTTACAGGGCAGCCATCGAGCAAGCGAGGAATCTCCTCAGAATACCGAGCTTTCCTTGGGATACAAAGACCCAAATCACACTATTCAATGAAAACGTTTGAGGCTTGCTTTTAAACCATCTATTTTGGCTCACACAAGTCTTTTCAATGCAAAAGTATGATTTGTAATTTGTAATTGGATTTGTAATCCACTAGAAAATGTTAATTTCACACTTTTTAAAAATTATACTCATTTGTTTTTATAAAAATCTCTATCTACATTTATTAAATTCCTCTTCTTTGTAAATAGTGAAAAAAATACTAGCAATTCCTAGTTGTTAAAAATCTACACTGAAAACTGCAGATATAGCATAAAATGCAGGTTGGATGAAATATCTTGCCATGTCTTTATTTCTACAACTTCCTAATCTACAAAGGACGAGTTTCAAAGACAAAAAAAATACTGCTTTAGATGCCCAACTCCTATTTGYTTTTGTATTATCTTTGTATTTCATCACAAATTAATCCCTGCAAACCATGATGATAATTTTTCTCATGTTTCCATTCCTGTTAATCATAGCCACCTCCTCCAACACAAAATAAGGCAATTAAGGAAATATCTGAAACCAATTTTCACCCACATAATGAACCCAATAAAAGTTATATTGCAAGTTCATCAGACTAATTCCAAAATAAGTTAATGCTATCCTTAAAAAACATATTCTTTGAATTAAGCAGACAAAAGGGTGACTCATCCAGTCACCTGGATGAAGGGACAGGGTGCACCCTTGGCAAGTTTGTTGATGATACAAAACTAGGAGCAGTGACTGCTGCACCATCGGGCAGTGCTGCCATTCAGAGGGACCTGGTCAGGCTGGAGAGAGAAACCTCATCAAGTTCAACAATGGGACATGCAGCATCCTGCACCAAGGGAGGAATAACCCCAGGCATCASGACATGCTGGGGGCTGACCTGCTGGAGAGCAGCTCTGCAGGACATGGGAGTTCTGGTGAACAACCTGACCATGGGCCAGCCCTGTGTGCTGGGGGCAGAGGTGGCCAAGGGTGTCCTGGGGTGCACTGGGCACTGTTGCCAGCAGGTCAATGGAGGGGATCTCTGTGTCCAGTTCTGGGCTCCCCAGKACAAGAAGGACATGGAGCTGCTGGAGAGAGTCCAGCGCAGGGCTACCAGGATGATCAGGGGCCTGGAACATCTGCCCTATGAGCAAAGGCTGAGGGAGCTGGGCCTGTTCAGCCTGGAGAAGAGRAGGCTGAGGGGGGACCTGATCAGCGTGTATAAATACCTCAAGGAGGGGGGTGAGAAGGATGGGGACAGCCTCTTTTCAGTGGTGGCTAGTGACAGAACTAGACAAAATGGCCACAAACTGAAGCACCAAAAGTTTCACAGGAGCTTAAGGAAAAAATTCTTGACAGGAGGGTGACAGCCTTGGAGCAGGCTGCTCAGAGAAGTTGTGGAGTCTCCTTTGGAGATCTTCAAAACCTGCTCGGACCCTGTGCCACATGCTCTAGGTGACCCTGCGTGTGAGGGTTGGACTAGATGACCTCTAAAGGTCCCTTCCAACCTTAGGGATTCTATGATTCTTATGAGGAGAGGCTGAAAGAACTGGAATTCTTCACCCTGGAGAAGACTAAGGATCTTATCAATGTGATATCTTATCAATGAAAATTACTGAATTTATGCTTTAAAAATGTTTTGGCATTTCCTGCAAGGTACATGAGTCTTCAGGTATGGTAAACTTGGATACAAACTCAATACATCTGCATGATAACCAGGGTACATTTTTTGTTTGCTTGTTTTTAAATTCTAACATTACATTATTTGCTACACTGAGCTGTTTGAAGTGTATTTTTGTTTTCAYTGGCACCTTGGCTTCATTACAGCATTATTCTGCCCAATCTTTTAATATAATCAGATTTTAAGTGGATTTTATCTGAGGGATTGCAAGAGGAGTTTAATCATTTCATTTTTTTTCATTATTTCATCTGTCATTGAGCACTTGAARGCACCAGGTTACAAAGCAGAGCAACAATGTTTGCTCTCTCACTGCTTAAGATACTGGAGGACAAACATTCTGGTGCTGTAGGGCAATTTCCTAATACAAGTCTTTGAAAATAAAGCAAGGCAAGGAGCAAAGAGGTCCAGCTGAACTCAATACCATACATCACCTTCTCCTCAGGAGAAGGAAATTCTGAATGAATTCTGGAGGAAACTCCAGAGTTCTGAATTCATGTAAAATTAGTCCCAAGTCTGAAAACAGTAGCAAAAGAGAGAAATTTCTAAGCAAACTTCTAAGAAACATCACAGTATGAAAATTACAGCAATATTTAGCACATTAAACTATTTAGATTACACTCATCTGGTTTCCAAACTCAGATATAAGATACTTAATACAATGCAGTTCATTAATCTAGTCTTCAGTAGATACCTTTGGGGGCAGAATGTTGACAGAAAAAAGGGYTGTTGATGGGTTCATAAATTAAGAGAAGCGCCAATTTCCTGTGTTGTGTCCACACATTAACAAATACGCCATATAACACATGAAAAACATAAGCTCATTGTACCATRGCCTGTGACAATGAGCTTCTGAGAATGTGAAAATCAGAGAACCAAATGATTCTTCCTATCCACATCTGTAATATTTTACTAAGGAGTGGGYTACTCTAGTTATTGCGTGACACACTTAACAGCTGCTTGAGCTCTTTATGTTCACTAGCTGTTAGTTTCCATTCTGCTAGGGATTTTTTAAATTATGGGTTGCTCTGACCATTTAACAGAATAATTCAATTTCATGCTGTGCTGAAGCTCAACCACAATCTTCTTTTAGAAGACACTTCTTGCAGCGTGTGAAGCCCCCTCAGCCCTTCTGTCCCTCAGTTCTTTTGTTGCTTCGCTCCTTTAACAGAGAGGTTTGGGTAACAACCAGTTTTCAGGGCTTGGTCAGCAAAGGGGGAAAAGGTCAACAGACATGCACGGCCTTTTCCTGCCTGGTCTGACTGCAAAGCATCAGACATTGATCCAATTCATGAATGCACGCAGACATCCAACACACTTAACTGAAGTGTACCACATATAATATTAGCCCCAAAGCCTATACATGGAGAAGTCTGATCTTCACTGCAAAGTTATTTTACTTCTCTAATATAGAATTTGTGAAAGATTATCTTTTTCAACCTTCTAATCCTTGGACCTGTTTTGAGCAAGAGGGCTGGACCAAYTTATCTCTAGAGATTTCTTCCAATCTAAGTTACTCTGTGATCACTTTCATCATGCAACTGTTTCTATTAAAACAAAGATCCAAGGCAWCTCGAGGACACGGTCATGCAGACAAGACTATAAAAGTTCTACCAGCTGTACAGAGTGGAGAACCCTCCCTCCTCCCCACTTATTTTTGCAGCACAATGATCTTGCTAAGATCATAGAGTATTTTCTTCACCTTGAGGCAGACTTAGAAAGAAAARTAAGTATAGAAGTAAAAACTCCTTTGGGTTATACCCTTCAGTCACAAGATCAAAACACAGGAGGACACTGAAACTCCCAGAATCTCAGACTACTTACCCACTCAAAAAACGTCACAGGAAAGAGAAGAGACTGGTGAATACAGAAAAAATAACCAACCTTTTATTAGCACTTCAACAATTACCCGGTGTTCCACTGTAAAGCACAGTTTTAAAGATAACACTGGTACCTCTGATTCATTACATAGCTTTGTGCTTTGTTTCAAAGAAAGGAAAACAGCTCCTCTCCCACCCCTTTTTTAAGGAAGAAAAGTTGTCTTAAGTTGACTACATATAAGCAGAGATACATTGCATACTGCAGTTAGATACTTCAGAGTTTGGCAGAACAAAAGTGTTTCAGGATATTAAATCCCRTCAGATGTGTTTTTTTCTTTGCTTGACTAGGAGGGGAGGGAGAAATGGATCATTTTCTAGTCATCTTCTTTCTCCCCTTCCCCTGCTATTTTTGGCAGATCTAAGAGAAAGTAGCATAGAATGAGACCAGGAGTCCATAACACTCAGACATAGCTGCCACAACGTTTTAAGTTAAAATTTAATTGCAAGTATTTTCATGCAGTATACAACATACTATTGCTTATGTGCTTACTCTTATTTCCCAATTATAGAAGAGATTTCTGAAATGTGTTTTTTCATACATTGTTACATTTAACACATTGCCTGTTTAAAGTCTTGGCTTTAAGCAATCTTCACATAAAAAGAGAGGTAGCTAAGTGGAAAATGTTTCTCACATGTTATTTTATACACGATCTCAATACATTCTGTAAAAAAAAATTTATCAAAATGATTTCCTTTCAAGACTTACTTCATAACAGTTTGTCTCCTCCAGATATTAATGCTTTCTAACACAGCTATTTGTATTTAGCCTTTGTCACCATGGACAGTTGCTACATCATTATACAAACATGATAAATTCATTTTATTAGGCAAATATTTGAGTTCCACTCAAGTACACTTAACACAGTAAAAACAAAACAGCAGTCCATGTCATAATTTGATTTACTTTTTTGCTGCACTTATTATGGGAATTTAAGCAGCACTTTTAATTAGATTAGAGAGAAGTCAAATAATCAGAACACTGAATTCTCAGCTCGTCGTATTTCTGTGCTGTCCAAACAATAGCTTATTTATTTCAAAAAATTCTAATGAGCTCCAGCATCTTAAATATGTTAAAAAGTGCCTTTTCCAGCATCATAATGTTGATTAAGAAAGCATCACCAAAATATAAGTAGCAAATATAGTTAAAAGTCAAAGTGAACAAAACCAAAATACTGTGGTCCAAATTCTGTGAACAGATCAAGTATGCAAGATGTTTGCCTGTGCAGAACTGGGCCATATTCTTCTCCGAACACTTAAAAAGGCAACAACTGGGAAAAAAAARAAAGAGGAAATTTAGCAGCTGCTGAAAATAGTTAAGCAGTGCAGGTGTACATTTCCTTGTCAATATTAAAGATCACTTAGTAGGTCCCTGAAATTCTCTGTTTCGTTTTACAAAATGTAAGCGGACACTATGAAAAAAGTGGAACTGTTTCAAAAGTAACTTCCTTCAAATATACTTGATTCAAGGCATCCCTAGAACTCATAAAAGGAAGTCTGAATTTTTATATACAGATTCAATATTTTGTTGAGGCTCTCAAATCACGGAAGCGTATTTACAACTTTTGCATTTTGTTGAAAATTATTTTTGTTCATATGGGCCAGGGAATAGCTTTCATAAGATGGAATACCATTTTAGCACAGTAATTTTTAGTGACAGAACTACAGAGTTAGAGGGAGGAAGCCAAGAGTCACTTAATACAGACAACGAGTATTGGCTTCCTGCTTCCAACAGCTCATTCCTTAAATTAGAAAGGACATTTTTATACYTCAATACATTGCCTCATGGAGAGATGTAGTTTGCAGAGATAGTATCCCCAAGCTTTCATAAAAGGATAGGCCTTTAACTGAACTACATCTCCTATGAGTCAATGTGGCCTTCTCTGAATGTAAACTGCACTACGACACTAAGATCTTCGTAACTCTCCACTTCCATGACCTCTGAGACAAAAGCACAGCCACAACCGTGAGCAAGCTGAGTGTAAATTGGTATTTAGCTTTGATACGAATCCCTGACTTTGGCCTGCAAGGCATCACAAGTCTTCTTGGCATCTCCCAGCAACATGGCAGTATTGGGTTTGTAGAAGATTGGATTGTCCACAGCTGCGTAACCAACTCCCAGAGACCTCTTCATTACAATGACCTGCGTGTAAAGAGTTCACATTTGACACGAAACACGAAACAAGAGTTATCCCAGCTCAGATGTGGTGGACATGAAATCACCCTCAAGCAAAGGGAGAGAAAGAGAACCATGATCAAGATAGGGAGTTGGSAGGTAAAAAAAAATGTATTTCAAGTTTTAATACAGTAAGAAAGAAGAGAACAATTGAAATCCAGGCCAGTTTCACAAATATATTTCTGTGCGATGTAACACATCAGACTGTGAGAGCACATCTATTCATATGCCTTGATGTTATTCCACAGAATCAAACCAAAATGGGCACTGGTGATTAAAATATATATARATATATATTATAAATAAAACTGATGTGCTCTTGATGCTGTGTACTTCAATAGCTCAGGATAACAAAGTTGAACTTATAAAAAATCTCACACCCTAAAAAATGGCTGTCAACTCAGCCTTTCATGTATTGCATTGAAGTACGGTATTTATTTTTGTATTTTTTATCTGTGCTAAAGTTGCCAGAAAAAATCCTATAAAGCATATCTTTGTACTGAAATGTTTTTAGAGTGACAAATGTAAGCAGGATATCATTTGTTCTAATCTCTTGAGAGAAGAAATACATTAAGTGTCCTTACTGACATCAGTCACCATTAATCTTGTTAAAGCAGACTGATGATTACAAAATCATAAACTGCAGCACACTTGCACAATACAGTCCAATTTATTGGTCACCTTGCAGAAGAACTTCTCATGGTAACAGAAAGAGTAAGAGCATCTTCTTAGGAGAAACTTTATCTATAAGCTATGTTTTTAAAAGCATGCTACCTACAGGAAGGTGTTAATGCAACTCTGCYAAGCTCACCTGTTTGGACTTCCACACTTCAAGAACTGGCATTCCAGCAATGATTGAGTTGGGATCTTCCTGAGCTGCTGAATTAACCGTGTCATTTGCACCAATTACAAGCACCAGGTCAGTTTCTGCAGCAAGAGAAAAAAAAGACTGAGAAAAAAAAATCCGTCTTCAACTCTGCAGCTAAGGTACATCCATCTGTGTTAAATGTGGACCAAGTAAGGAAACTCCTTGTATAAGCACTCCACACTCTACAAACTTTTACTGAGACTTTTTCAAAATATCTTATAACTTAATTGGGAAAGTCCTTGTGAGAGAAGCCAAGGATGCTACAGTAGAAGCTCCAGCCAACTCCGAGCCTCCAGAATCCATTCTAAGGGCTTATTAGACTAAGCAAAGTTACACCCTTTAATATTTAAATACAATTTCATATACCTGTAGTATCAGCACCTTCCAATTCTTTTATGCCTAGCTCTTCCCTTTAAATATCTTTAACACAGTTTTTGACAGTAGTTTTCTGATTTTTATTTTCTTTTTTTTCCCCTTCTTTAAAGTCTTTACTTGAAGTTACACTGTCAAAATATTCACAAAATGGAGAGCATCTGACAAAAAACATCAGTAATTTTCCTGTATGAAGCCATAACACAGACAAAATAGACACAGCATTTCTCATTTATTTCACAGCTACCAGAAACCAAAAGCTGTTCTCTAGACTCTGGAAGAAATAGTTCTTTCCAGCTCCTTTTTATTCATCTCCCTTCAATACTCTACCCCTGCATTCAATACTTGCCTTTCACTTGAACTGTCTGTACTCTCTCCCTGCTTCTCAGTTTTCTGCCCTTGAGTCAGGCTGTTCCTTTTATTTCTCCTTGCTCCCCTGCTGTCATTTGAGAGATCACCTCTCCTCTCCAGATCACTCATCTGCTCTGCTCTGCTCAACAGGCACAAAACAAGAACGCATGGCCTGATTGAGATTCCTGGTTTAAAATCCTTGTATAATGCAAGAAGGAATCAAATAAAAATTGACAAGAACAAATCCAGTCTTCTACAGACTTAAAGTCCATATGCTAACCTGGGAAGTCCTCATTGATCTCATCCATTTCCAAAACAATGTCATAGGGGACACCAGCTTCTGCCAGGAGCACATTCAGCTGACCAGGCATCCGACCAGCCACAGGGTGAATACCAAACCTAACAGGAAAGAAAGTGCAGCCCGTTTATCACTTTGTTTTATGCAGTGTTTTATGCACAGCTTGTGCAGCTTACAAGCTCTGAAAGCTTGTGCACAGTTAAGATTTAACCCTTATTTCAGTTTTAAATCATACAAACAATACTGTATGTATTTTTTCCAGTGCTGTAGGAAACAGAATGGGAAGGAATGGAAATGAAGCCGATGGATTGGATTCTTCACCTGGCAGCAGCTCTTCCTTTCCTCTCTTGAAGGATGACTGACAACAGGTATTCAAAAGAATACACTCAGTTGCTAGCTAAGCTAAACACGTTAAGAGAACATTTTAAATTCTTCTATTACAAGACAAGGGTTAGTCAGTTGCTGCACTTGCAAGGAAAGTGGCTTTAGAAAGTGTGCTGCAATAAAAACACCAGAGCCATTTCTAGTGACAACACGGGAGGAGCTAATGACCACGAGGGCCAGGTGACCCTCTGTTCCACCCAGCAGCAGTGCAGGTTTTTCCACCTGTACATCAGCAGACTTGGCCAGTTAACCTCAGCTTCTTTCAGAGCAGCCCTCCTTAAAGCCAAGGGCACAGGACCCCGCGGCACCGGGCGGCTGTGGGRCCTGCCCGGGTGCTCAGGCCCACAGGACCCTCACAGGGCACCCGGCCCCAAGGCCGGAACGGTGCTTTGCTACATGGGGACAACATGGCCCATTCAACCCACGAGCCACTGATCCGGGGGTGGAAGAGGGGCCTGGAGGGCAGCTGTGAAGTTGCCCCTGTTTAAGCACAACTGAATTTTAGAAGCAGTCTCCAAACTGCTCAAAGTACAGATAGCACACTGCTTGAGAGCTGCTGAAACTTCAGGCAGCTGCAGTTTGGGGAGGCAAGGTGCACATTAAAGCACACATCTAGTTCTGGAAGGATAACAGCCTGACAGAGCTCAGAACAGAGGCACAACATTGATTTTTTTCCACAGCTCCTGAAGACTTACTTTGGTTGGAGGCAGATCTGTTTCTTGCAGGCAGACTGCATTCTGCTACTGTCCCCAAACAAGCCAGGCTGAGCATTTCCACTGTCCCAGGCAGTGGAACTATTTTACCCAGTTTGGAGCCATCATTAAATAAAACACTGACTCGCACACACACAGGAAGTGCCTCGGCTTCAACTATATATAGTGTTCATATAAGTGTTCAAGAAAGAAGTCTATCATTTCAAAATAAGCAGAAAGACCAATGAGAAAACTGTAAATTCCTACATTTCTGAACAGAAATCTCAGAGCAGAAAATACAAGCAAGTGAGAAGTGCAGTAACGAGACTTCAGACTCACTCCTTTGGGAAGGAAGAAAAGGCAGATAAATCAACTTGTTTTAACAAAGAGATTGCTAGAAATTCCTGTTTTCAACAGATCACCACTGTGACAGATCCCTGAGGGTCCACAAGTCCCAGTCAAATCAACACAGCACATTTGTGCATTTAACACTGTTCCAATGCATCCTTAAAAGGGCAACTCAGGGCTCCACGGGCAAGGCAGCGTTCAGACAATGCAAAGATGAAACAATTGGAACTCCAGAAACAAAATTAATGGCGTGCAATTAATCCACATCCTGTAGATATACTGTGATTGTAAGCTCTAGGTCAAAGAGCAGGATAAACAGTTAGCGTTGAAAGGAATGCTTTAAAGGAACAAAGAAAAGATTACACTTAACTCTTAAATATTTGGGATCTTGGCAACACCTAGAATCAGAAAAAGGAGTGCAAAACACAGAACAAAATATTAATAGCTAATGCTTCACACTGGTCCCTCAGTTGTTTAAACCATCTCTGTGGGGAGCAGCTAGTCATAATCCACACCAGCTACAATCACTGACACTGCAGGAAGAGAACTCTTATTCTGAAGCATACTCGAGAAAATCATCACTCCTCTGGCAGTGAAAACAGTTTTTCCAGCAAAATTCTCTTTTGTTCCTAATAAAATTATTTCAGCTTCTTTGTGACCAAGGCTGCTTTGGCAATACACAAGACAAAGCATTTGTAAGGTTTCCATTAAGTACCATATACATACACAATCTTATTTTAAGGGCTGGAAAAGCAAAACTTGAAGCTGCCAGGAGAAATCACCATTGCTGGTGAGAGGCATAGAAAATAAGGAAAGAAAGGGACAAACAATCTTGGTTCAGGAAGAGTTATGGCACAGAAGATCAGTAGTTAGAGACTTCTGACAGATCCTGCTTGAAACCACACACTGTGTATTCACAGAGCTGAAAGCTCTCACACAAAAGCTATTTTTTAATAAAGAAAAAGAACACTCAAATGAATGCACCCACTGGAATCTCCGAAATGACTTCCAGAAAACTGCTTCCGAGAACCTGTTTACCAAGGATGACAGTAGCCTGCCTGTATCTCTTCAAACTGGACATGCCAGAGTACCAAAAATATTTGCTAGGCTTGTGTGTCCAGAGAGGCTGTGGAGTCTCCTTCTCTGCAGATCTTCCGAACTGGCCTGGATGCCGCCCTGTGGCCTGTGCTCAGGGTGTCTCTGCTGGAGCAGGGGGGATGGACGAGATGATCTCTAGAGGTCCCTTCCAACCTCAACCATTCTGTGATATGTGCACCTCTCATGTTTTCATCAGTTCACAAAACAGAACACACACACACACACACACACCCCTGCAGGGAGGTCACCCATTCCCACTGGAAGCAGAATTTAGACCAGCAGGCACCAGGGGAAAGCTAGTGCAGACACCTTCCTCCCGAGCACTGAGAATATGACTCACAATCTCCCCCCAGATCATTTCAAACCCACCACATCTAGATGAGGGACAGTATTCAGCAATTGTTGTACTGACTCAAAAATAAGAAAAATGCAAAGCCAAAAGAAGGTCACATTTCACACAAACAATATATTCCAGAAGCTAAAATCCTTGATGACTAACAGCAGGTCTAACAAGAGCAGTATACTCTGCTCCAGACCCACAACAGCAGCAGTTTTTCAAAGCTGCTTTCTTCATGGTAGGAATATTCTACCATATATGCTCTTCCAGATGTTTAAAATGAACCTCTACATTCATATTTAAAAATTTAAAACATGAACGATTTTTAAAAGGAGGGATGTGTTATGYGGAAAATGTTTTCAAGTGAAGATTTGCTAAGTAAGCTTTCTTTGATGCGTTTTTAATATCAGTGTTGCAAGGGCTGCTCAATTAAAGCACAAGCATCGTACTTCTGACTTCCTATTTGGATGACGTTCTTTGGGATAAAGCATGAGCAGACTGGAAACTCAGGATTGTAAGTTGTGCTGTGGCTGACTTTTCTGCACCCTGACTTGGGCTGCACGATGTGGGCCTTRCTGGTCACCTCCTTGCTGCTAACAGACTTCATACCTAAAAACCACAACTAAAAGGAAATGACATTGAGCCTTTTTGCTCAGCATCTTTCAGATACTTTTTAGCTTCAGAAAAAAGCAAACTGAGAAATTAGTCTACATTTTTAACGTTTTCCTGCAACACAGCTAAAACAGCATTTTCTTTTTAAATTAGACTAGAGATCTAAAAGTCTTGACAAATGCTTATCTAGTWTTGCCCCTCTAACACAGAAAGAATTTAAACTGTAGTGCAAATAAAATTACCATTAGTAATACAAAAGACTCCCGCATTTAAAGAATCAAAAAAAATCTCAGGAAGCAAGTTACTCTTTCTACAGTTACAGTCTACGTCCTTATTTGTTATAAGTAGCCAGATAATATTCTTGCAATGAATATTGAGTGTTATCATGTACCTAAACTAATGGAGAAGTGTTTCAAGATCACTTAATCCACRCAAAGAGAGTAGTTCTGTCATTATGCTCAAGCTGGACAGAGCGACACAAGCAGCATCTAACTGGTGCCTACTTTAACTTGCTCAACATTTAACAAGTTGTACGTAGAGAGAAAAATTGAGAGCAATTTCTCTCTTAGCAAGTGGCTCTGCTTTACCCATTCACTTTTATTCACAGGTGATTCCTCTGCCTCCAGTACAGACAACAAAGTATCCTCAAGGATAACAAAACGAAGTGGGAAGTGCAGTATTCAGAYGTCCCACAGCTTGAATCCAGCTACATTACAGTATCATTTGCAGTGCAGCATTGTGTTGAGCAATTAGAGTTCAAGTATAATATTTCTATGTTATAGGGAATATACATAGGGAGTATAGAATATTCTGTATTCTATAATAGGGAGTACAATACTTCTGCAMACATTACTTCTGCACACATTATGGATCACTACGTAGATTACAAACCTTAAAGCACACAGTTGGCTCAGCCCTAGGGATGTGCCTCAGGCAGCAAAACTGCTCCAAAGCAGGAATTTGGCACACAGCGAATACGCTGGAGTCAGGTTAGTTTAGAACAAGCGTGTTAAGAACAAGAGTGTCTATTTTTCTTACCTAAGCAGTGGCTGTCGCTCTCCGCATTCGCCTCTGTGGTGGGAGGGTTTATCACTGCATGGGCAGCCACGCTGGATCCAAGCATGCGGCTCAAGRTCTCCCAGGAGCCAAGTGACAAGAGCAAAGTAGTGGGTCTCTACAAACACAGCAAGCTGAGCCAACAGGGTCACCTGGAACTGAGCAGGGACCCAGGGACCTGCCCACACTCCCTGCTATGCTCCCAGGAACGTTTCGCCCCTGCAGCAGCCCAAAGACACCAAAGCTTCCTACACAGGTCTGGCACCTGAGCCAACAGATCCATTGGAGCTCATCTGCCCCTCCACCTACAGAGTTAATATCTCATTGACAAAATGAGTGGTGGAACTTTGTGATTCATTAGGATAGCATCTTACCCCTCATCTTTTAAAATGCTGTCATATTTTCTTGTACAGAAAGAAGCATTACTGTAAACTCAAATAATCAATCAATTCAAGTTAATCAGCTTTATTTACCAAGTTACCCAGAAATGGGCGGGTGGTACCCACCCGCATGACCTATTACCCAAACCATTAAAGCCACTGAAAAATATAGAATCCTGAACATATTTGATTAAAGTCCAGCCACAGAAGCAATAATATTCAAAACTGCAGACCAAACACTGTATCTATCCTGTCCCAGTTCTCCTGTAGGAAACCTATGCTTCCATCTGCTCTGAAGTAACTATATATTGCTCAGTATTGTAGGACAGAAATGCAAGTCTTTCAAGACACCTATCAAAGGAAGTTAGGTTAAGAGGAGCCTTTTACCAACTCATTTGAATGACTCTTCAAAAAGAAGAGCATTTCCCTCAGCCATGCTAATTAGAAGCATTGTTGCTTAATTATCAGTTTGTGCTTTAGTTCCTGGATCTACTTTTTAACAGTCTTTCCAGCCTGGAATTCAATTTCATTATCATGAGTATTATGGASGAACTTCAAGAATACTGCTACAAAAAGCTTTAGGAAAGTGATGCTGTGGGAAAAGCCAAGCTAGTTAATTTGGTGCGGACATGAACAGTGTTGATTACGCATATGCAWATGAGGATGTAAAAGATTAAGCTGTTTTATAGAGAAGAAATAAGAATTTTGCAACTAGAGGCTTAGGAAAAAGACAGCATGCTGCTGAGGGCCTTTGGCAACATGACAACCTTCAACAATTTACTCGGTTTTAGTTAGTTACAGAACAAGTCTTCTCTCCCGGGCCAACAAATTCTGGAGACTACAAGTTTTAGCCTACAAAAAGATTTCTTGGTTTACCTATCCATAACAAGAAAAAGCTATAATGAAAGCTCATTTTTTTTAAGAAATAATCCTACTAATGCATTGAAGATGTGATCTGCTGAAAGAGCATCTCAAATTAGTCATGTTAGCTATGCAATTTAATAACTAAAACAGTCTGGAGCTTCCCCCAAACCCTCCCATTCTTCTAAATTTAAACCCTAGTCATAAAAGGTTATACACTGCATTATATAATCTGTGTTCTTCCCTGAGAATGTTATAGGCACTGGGCAAAGTCAATGAGAACAGCAGTGTCTGCGGATCAATCGCGAGGCATGAAGCAGAGAGGGGCCACACGACAGCTGCAGTTTTTCCTGGCAGGGCCGGGCATCACRAACTGATGACACTGGTGTGTCCCCCCGTCCCGCGGCGGCGCCGCGCAGGGCACACGACACCAGCTGCGCTCCACGAGCACCGCGGCAGCTCCACGGAGCGAGGAAAGGCCTGCGTTACCACGGACTGTAAATACAGACTTGTTTCATTAAAATACTAAGTAACCACCGCAGCGAAGCCTTCCCGCAATGGGCTCGTTTCAAATATAAGGCAGTTATTTCAAGGATGCATTCGCGTTTCTCTTCTGCAAAGCCAACATGAAAGGCAAAACCAACAATCCCTTACAGCAGCAGGATTAATGAAAACAAAGATAGCCCACACAGGAGCTCCCAGAGGAAAGATAGCTGCACACAACACTGTCCTTGCATCAGCCAAGGAAGGCTCTGTTCCTGGAACAATCTGCGGGTCTTCAAAAATTTAAATGCAGTTTGGACCCACATCGCTTTTATGTCGAACATGGGGAAATGAGGTCAGGCGAGTTGTTTCAGGAAGCCCATGCATCAGCACACATTTCTCATGTATGCAGACATAAATGCAAATACATAAACAAGTTTATGTATAACTTTTTATGCATAAATTTATAAAAACTACATAAGTTTATAAAAGAAATTGTAACATTCTGAGTTAATTACAATTGTTGCTAAACTCTTCAAAAACCCTGCTGTTACCCATCACAATACATGCTGCAAAAAACTGCAAAGAATTATATGCATCTTTGCTATGAGGTTGGAAGAAAAGGCAAATAAACACTAATTGCTAAAATACTGACTCCAAAGGAAAGCCACCGTTGTAGCTGAAATAAACACATGGAAATTAGAGAGCGAGCTTGACAAACCATCGTCTATCTAAATGGGTGGGGTTTTTTGATGAAAACTGAGCCTTGACTAATTTTAAAATATTAAATTACCATAATTAGAAAACAGTTTCCCAAGCATTTAGAAAGAAAGAAATGACATTAGCCTTCCAATGCTTTCAATATCTGCAAAAGCTTTATGAAAAATGGAAGACAACTGACACCAATATTTATACTTAAAAATCCTCTATGCTTTTGGTTACAGCACTAGCTGAATAAATCCATAAGATGGGCCACATGCACTCCAATAATCCTTTCATGCAATGCATAACAAGACTCTTAAATCAGTTTTGCTTGCAATAGAAAAACAATCAAAACCCCACACACTTACGGGAGGTCATTAAGAATAAGACTAAGCAAGAGGATTGAGAGACTGGAGCATCTCCCATACACAGGGAAGCTAAGAAAACAGTGACTGCTCAGCCTGGAGAAGAGAAGGCTCAGAGGGATCTTATCAACATCTGAGTATCTGATAGAAGGAAGTAAGCAAGACTGAGCCAGACTTCTCAGTGGTACCCAGTGAATAGGAACCAGGGAGAAGGATAAAAGGCACAGGGACAAAATGAAGCGTAGGAAATTGTCTGCACATTAAAGAAGTCTTATTTTAATGATTATCAGACACTGCTGGGAGACTCTGGAGTCTGCAACCCTGCAGATGGTCAAAATCTAACCGGACAAGGTCCTAACAACCTGCTCTAGTTGCTCCTGTTTAGACCAAGGGGTTGGCTGAACCAGACAATCTCCAGAGTACCTTCCAACCTTAACCATTCTATGGTCCTATGACCATTCAGAATAYATTAAAGTACTGACATTTTTTCTCTTTAGACTTTACCATCTTCAGTGACTCCTTTCAGAACATATGAGTATGCAGAGAAACAAGAATGCAGAGAGCTTTGAGAGAAGACCATAATCCAGATGCTCGGAAAGAGTCAAGTAAGGTCAGGAAGACTATCCTATAGAAGCTGAAGTCCTGCTGTGAGTACAAAATAAGCAGATGGACCTATGARGACTTTTGAAGAATGCATCAGATTAGAGATGTACTTTCAAGAACTAGACTGTATACAAACTTCTGAGCATCTGCAAGAAGTAGTTCTTAGTATATATGGACTGTCGTTAGCTATCACATAGTGCAGAAGGAGTTAGATTAAAAATCTAGTCCGCCTTACCTTTGAACTTTTCCTATATGAAGATGGACAGCTATCAAATACTTCTGTGCAATTCTCAACTTTCTCTGCATTTGCTTCCAATATACCAGTAGAATTGAACATTACTGCCCATACCTTATACTACCACTACTGTGGAGGAGTAAGCACTGTTGCTGTAATTCATCCCAGTTATTCCWAGTAAGCTATCCCAGGAAAGAAGCGAATCCTTGGCAGCGAGGCTGTTACCTGATCTACTTTCCCATGTCACACTGGCCTGACCTTGCAAATGCCTCCTCCATGTGGCAGGAGGCCATCCTTCCTGCCTACGATTCAGGACTGCTCCCACTACACCCTTCCAACTGGTCTCTGGGTTTCAGTTGCACAAGCAGAGGGGTCAACTCCCTTAGGAAATCACAAGCTCTGTTTAGCCTAGAAAGCAATTTCTCTTAATAGATGTTTCTTTATCAGGCAATTCRAAGCATTTAAGTTAGACCTGTTCTGCCTTATTCTATTTGTAAAAACAGACCAAGTGAAGGACTTAAGATTCTGTAAAATATTTTGTTGCTACAATAAAAATTAACAAACTTAAGACCATTCCGCTRTAGAGTGAACTGCTTCATGACACTAAACAAAAGAGGAAATAACATTATTCTCCACCTTCTAGGTCTCAAAGAAAAAAAAAAATCTAGCAAAATATATAAACAGAATTTAATTGCCTGAAATTAGTTAGAGRTAGAAATACCTTTTAGGCTAAAGCATGAAAATTCTAGATATTAGTAAGACTACAATGTTCCTCCAATTGATAATTCTCAGCGAGATCAGTGTTAAGAGTGACTATTGAAAGAAAAATTAGAACCAAAACACACACTTGTAGAGGATTTTAATGCAATTAGGAAAAAAACTACACAATATGTATGGACACAAAATGGAAGTACTTACCTGACATTTTTCCCTTGTTCTCTCAACATTTTCACTAGATCTGCTATAGGGTACTGAGCTTTTGCTGCACATAGACCATAACCTGAAAAAGTGTACCAAAATTTTAAGCTATTTTCCCAGTTCAATGCCAAAAGAAGAGTTACAAACAGAATTTTTCATTAAAAAAGCCCCTATTTTCTCATGGGAGTTTCATCTTAACCACTGCAATCCATCTGATCTTTTTGGTCTCCTAACTAGTAACAGAACAGCTGCCTGACCAGTCAAACTACACAAATGCCTTATTTTGGCTCCACAAAAATATGAACTCATTACACTTGGAGCAAGGTATTAGATAGATATATCAAAAAAAAAAAAAAATAAAATGACACAGAGGCTGCTATGGGGTCACTTCAAGATCATATGGTCAACAGTGTTGACTGCRATGTTAGTTGCTTTCCCTCCCTCTCCTCCATTTCGATGCTAAAATAAAATTTGGCACAGTAACGGTGATATATAGCTCAAGTAAAACAAAAATTTTAAACTATTCATCATCTCACTTCTCTTAAGAGGAACTTGTAGTACTGAACTACCATATGAAGCCTATGGAGAACTGAGAGCTATGGAAAACTTAGTTCATTCTTTTTTGGGCTCTGTTCCCACTTCCCCCTTTATAAAATCCAGTATTTATTGGATACTAATTAGGAATTAAATGATTCTGAAGGTTTTCCAACAAAACAATACAAAGTTAGGCAAGTAAATTGTACAAGAAGCAGAGAATAAACATCCTTCTCTTGTAGTATCTTAAGGGACAGATAATTTCTTATTTGTAACATTGGCACTATGATGGCACTTGGAAACTTGCACCATAACAGTTGTACACAAACTTGTAACTACACATAATTCGCAAAGAAACCGCCTTTGTCCTGAAGAATTTAAAATCTAAATAAATAGGACAAAGCCTGTGAAGAGACATAGAAATAAAAAGAAAGCAACATACACATGTCTGCAGAGGAATGGTGGCTAAACTCATAAAAAATAGGCCTCCCACAACCCCTTTTGTGCTGCACAACATCTTTTATGCTGCTATCTTACAACTGCAAAACGTATCATAGCTTTCTTGAAACGACACTTCTTCTGAATGTCCTGCAGTATGAGCCATGAGTGTCTTACCAGGGGTAATAATGATGCTGCTGGCTTCCTTGATCATTTCAACTGCATTATCCAAATTGATTTCTGTGTGGGTGCCAGTAATCTCCATGGGCTTCCCGCCGGCTGTGGATGTAGTGCCATAGCCTCCTAGAATCACGTTGGCGAGAGAGCGGTTCATAGCCTGAAAGACAATAGAGTTTTGATCAGCTAATAAGAAAAAAATCAAGACTAAGAGACGTCCACAAAGCAAGTTTCAAGAAACACTAGAGCCTTTCTGACAATAGTATTACTTTGGCTGATAGTTTTGCTTACTTTAACTCAAAGCTTTTTAAATGGGCTCCTTAAAACAGAAGCTTAGATTAAAATGATGGTAGTCAAACATCAACTCCTAACAACATCTGTTACACTTGTAAAAAGTAATAATCAGCATCTTGCAAGAAGAGGAGAAAGGAATAAGTAAATTAAATCCACACACAAAACACTACCAACTGCAGCAAAAACCAGTGACTTTTTGATCTGAAAGGGAGGAACATGCCCACTTGATGGCATGAGTGTTTTCTTTGAGCAATTCAATGTGTAAGCCTAGAACTGCTGTATGACAGCATGGAGACTACGCAGATCTCAGGTGGAACAGAAACAGTTTCTACAGCATCAAGCCAGMAAACACGAAAACAAAGCTTGATAGCCACATAAAACTAACCAAATGGTAAATCAAAGCAATGTTTGAATGAACTCAAGGGCCAATACCTTACTGGTGGACCACTGTGGGGAAATAAGATCTTAAATAGGAGCTTCAGGAGAAAGGCACATCCTGAGAATTCTGTATATACAGCTAGGGAAAACCCTCCACTTAAACCCTCTCAGCAGCCCATCTCCTTGTGAGTGGGGTCCTGCAGTCATGGCTGGCAATATTTGGAAGCAGGGAAGTTTTGTAACCGCAGTCTGCAAAACTTCAGAAGCACAAAAGGAACAGGAATAAATGAGTTCTCTAACATATGTTAGAGAACTCCATCTTCTGTGTCAGATTATTTAAGAACGGATATGGAGCTGCACACATACTAGTAAGGAAAACCCCAAAAAAGCAAGCTTCCAGTTTGCATTAACATGTCTCATTATGCATCTCCAAAGGTTATAACCTGAAGAGATGTGTCATTCTGTGAAATTCTGCATCTAGCAAATAAGCAACATCACCACTGAGATAGGAGAAGAACTTCTGTTTTCCCTAATATATCACCAGTGTTTTAGTTCCTGTAAGGAAAGAGCACAACACGGTCTAAATGCAGACCCTCTGGAATCATCATCTTCCCAGGGACYGACTGCAGCAGTTCACATCCTTTAAGGACATATTGCCTCTGATATGTGTCACATTAAATCTTCACAGAGGAATACAGGCTACCAGCAATACTATCACAAACTTAAATGTCAGGTAAGCTAATCTGGATAGAAAAAAAAAGGCTCTCCTGAAATATTGCACGCTCGCTAGTGTGCTTACAGGAAGCAAAACACTGCCAACTCTCTTCTCAACTAACAATAAAACAAACTCCTTAGATATCAGTCAGACCAAAGCAAAAATGGTTTAGATACTATTACACACCTGAGAATCTATGCAGGGCAAGCATGAGATGGAAGCATCTTTGCCTGGCTACATACTGAGAATCGAGGGAAGAGGAGTCCAGCAAGAGGGAGATACGGAGGCCTTCAGGACAAGCTGAGAACTTCTAAGTAATAACTAAGACAACCAAGGTCTCCCTAATATAGGGACAGTGTGCTAAATCTCCTGCAGCCTCTGCCATCTTGTTTTACAACTACAGACTAGAAACGCAAATGAAGAAATTCCGAACTTCTTCATTCACAGGTAACCCAGTGAGGARCAGCTTCTGCAGTGCACACACAGGTGACAAAACATGTAGGAAAGAACAAGAATCAAATCCCTCCCAGTGGTGGGTTCAAACAGACAACCCAAACGCAGCTGCACCCAAATACTTCAAGCTTTTCTGAAACTTTTCAAGAGACACAACGGCTACGTAGAACTTTCCCTGTGCAATACTAACTTCAACAGCAGAGAGAGTAAACAGCCATGATTGTCCAGAAGAAAATATTAGGATAACAGAACAGCAACACTGACCATAAAAGAATGCAGGAGCAGAGAACAGAATTACACAGCAGTGGAGTTACAAGCAGTCTTTAAGTCACTACCCTCTCCATCTTGGAGAAGAAATAGGAAACACAGACAAGTAAAATACTTCACTGCAAGTGCTCCACAAAAGCAGCCTRTTAAGCAGTACTGAAATAAGACAACACAGTGTTTCAGTTTGCTCTGACACAAATTAACAGCAGCAGCAATACATTAATGCAAGCCTGCTGCCACCCCGTGGTACTTCAAAGAAACTGTTCTCTCAACAAAGTATTCAGCACACTTTGCCACACTCAAAAAAAAAATCCCAAAGTTGATCAGCAATCAAATCACACACTGCAGGTTTCACAGGAACTCGCTATTGAAAGTACTTRCTATTGAAAGTACTTGCTGCTGCTAAGTCTTAACCTTAACACGGCTGCAGAGTGACACAATTAGGCAGCTGAGCACATGTAATCAGACCTGTCCAAGTTTAAATTCACACAGAAGGACTGGCTCAACGTAAGGGCCTCCCTCAATTTCACCGAGTTTTGAAGCATCTCTCCAAAGCTAAAAAGCTCTGATTTGCACMCAGTCCAACCATTCTCACCCAGAACTTTCTAGTCTCTGAACACCTGGTAGCCGGGTCTTCCAACTGCTTATCTTAACAAGTATTTTGAGTAAGGCTTTTTTACTATTTGGCAAAACAAGCAATATCTTCATGTAATTCTTACCACACACATGATGTAAGAGAGGATGGCCCCAGAGGAACCAATGAGCGCACCAACAATGGTCAGCAAGTTGTTGTTCAGCAGGAAGCCCTCGGCACACAAAGCCCATCCAGAGTAACTGTTCAAGACAGTAATAACTACAGGCATGTCAGCACCTCCAATAGCTGCTGTTAAGGTGACACCCTGGAAAAGGAAAGAAAATACACTCTTAAATGAGAGCTATAAATACAGAGAAGATGGTTCCTCTGCAGCATTAAAAAATATGGTTATGAAACAGCAAATCTAAGTATTTTCTACATAACAGATCAAGTTGTGTCCTGAGCACAGGATTTTGGGATTCCCAGTAAGAGGGGACAAGAAAGCACTCCACTACCCTACTCACAGAAAAATCCCACCAGCTCYGTGGAACTGTGTACACTAGGTAGTTATTCATACTAAAAAAAATTGCAAGACTCAGCTTATAGCATTGTAATATTCAAGGTAAATGTTTTTACAGCTGAAGTAAGTGTGGAAGGAAAGCATAGGGATAACTTTATTTTAGCATTACAATTTGTACATTCAATGCTCTTATAGTTCTAAGGATGAACCTTTCAAAACACCTTTTAAACTTCATTGTCATATAAAAGGTTCCATCAAGTCATAGCTGTGAAAAGTAATTACCTAAATACATATTCGTTTTTCAGAACAGTTCTGTTTCCCAGCTAGATTTAGGAAAGTCAGCTGCTACTTGCCAGTCAATGGAACACAGGCACCGAGACGTGACTCAAGAGAGACATGACTCAAGACACAATCACTAAGGGAAGGGAGACTCGGAAAGCTGAAGAACAGACTGTACAATCTGTCTTACCTCCTGTAGTTCCCCAACTCACCATTATGGCCGAGAGTGCTGATACAGAACCTAAACAAGTAATGCCCGTGGTGTAACTGGGGTCGATCATGTAGGGAATCATCCCGCCAACGCTGGCGGCCAGCAAGCCCGCGTTCAAGGCATGGCGGCCGGGCAGCAGCAGCGGTGCAGAATTCAAGATACCTGCAATCCAATGCAACAAAACGCTTGCATTACGAGTGGTTATCGTGAATCATTTCAAAGAGATTAGGGAATAAAGATTTGTTTTCTTCCCAATAAGTCTTAAAAACAAAACAAACCACAGCCACACTTGCATACTGGCCGCAAATGTTTGCATGAAGTGCAAAACATGCCTACATGAACTCTAATTAGAGTTATCCTACTATTAAAAAAGTCCCAAACACAAATAAGAAAGCACGGTCAGAACAAGTGAATACAGTCACTATCATTATGAAATACATGTGAGCCCATTAAGAGAACTTATAAAACAAATTTTGTCAGTTAACAGCTGTAGGACAACCTGGAAGCACCAGGTTGAAGGYACTAAGACATTTCATAGGGATACTGATGAAGAATCTAGAATCCAAAAAGTTTTTGACATGGTCTGCAGTTTAGCATTTATTACCAGGAAGGCTAAGACCAGAATTGGAAGCTATTTACGTAAAATATTTCATCATATCCTACTCTGAAGGTACAAAAAACAAACAAAAAAAAGATTTTAGCATGATTGAAGACTTGCACCAACACCAACCCAAGTCTCCTTTTTTTTTTTTAAATACATAAGCACTCTTTAAAGACATAGCTCCTCCTACTAATGCCTGTCCCAACAGTTCTTAAAACAAAAAAAAAACAAAAAAAAACACACCACACATTTGTTTCAAGGTAAGACGAACGGAAAAAATTCATATTATTTGATAACTAATAATAGTAACATCACAAAACACTGAATAAAAACCATTCACGAAGTTGGTTCACAAAGCAGGAACAGAATTTAAAAGAGAAAACAGTCACACAAGGTTTCTTTCCAACTACTTAATAGTTTAAAGGCAGAGTTAGGACACAGAAAGAAAAAAACTTAGAAAGAAATAATACTTAGTTCTGCCTGGGAAGTCTCACCTTGCAGTTTTCCGTAAGCAACAAGGGAGCCACTGAAGGTGACTCCGCCAATGTATGTCCCAAGGTACGCTACAATCTTGGTGAGGTTGGCAGCTGGATCCGTAGCAAAGTGAGGAAACTCAATCATGTATTCTGCCACACAGGTGAGAACAGCAGCCAAACCCACCAAACTATGGAAAGCAGCAACTAGCTGAGGCAAATCTGAAATCTGGATGCGTTTAGCAATTGTCAGACCTATTGAAAAGATGAAGAYGGGAGAAGAAGGGTTATGGGGCAACTAACCCGTGCAATCCAACTGATGCATTTTCAATATGCAGTTAATACACAAACACATACACACACACTCATAGATTCTCTAGTGCGACAGTATTTAACTGGAAGACATCTATTTTGTGCAGTGAGACTATCAGGCAAATTAGAAAAGATTAAAGTACATGAAGTAAGAAGAAATTTCATTAAGTACTGAGAAAACAAGTATTTTCTATGAAGACAGCATAGTATGAAAAAGAATATCAGTATTCAGCCGGCAAGTAAACTTAAACATAGACTTGAGTACACTAACCTGTGCACACCCGGTTTTCTTAACCTTTATGGAGAAGTTTTGCATTCTTGATTTTCTGTTAGTCCTCCCTTTCTTCATTGAATGTACTAATTAAAGCCCTGGGACTTACAATTCTTTGATTTACTTGCAAGAATAACATAAGCAAGTCATAAACATAATTAGTCATTGTACCTGCATACTCTGCCATACTATGCATACACAAATCCTGCATAAATGTACATGTAGTGCATATTAAGACATATTTATATTACAATATACATACCCACTGTACCACCAAGCGCCATGGCTCCTGACATCTGGGCCAATAGCTCGGGTGATGGCTGAAGGCCTCCAAGAGTCGCTGCTAGACCTCCAGCAACACCAATCATGCCCAAAGCATTGCCCAGACGAGCAGTTCCTTGGGTGGACAGGCCAGCCAGGGCACCAACACAGCACAAGCCTGACGCCAGATACATCATCTTTAAAATGAAAAAAAATATATATGTATATATGAAGTAGAGACATACAGCGCATAATATACTATGATTAAATCCTTTCCATTATTAGGCAGATTTCTCCTCAATGTCTGTAACTTGCCAAGTTATTTGTTCTTAATGAAGTAGAAGTCAGAAGGAGAAATTGTCATAATAGATAGGATTTTGGCCAACTRAAGTGTGACATCTAATAAAATGTTTCCCTTTTGTTTCACAATCTTAGTTCGGCCATATTGTGAAAAGCAAATTTGAGTCAAATCAACTTTTCTCCAAGTTCAGAAGCAAATTTTTCTTTAGTCCAATTAACACCGATCAAATTCAACTGTCTTCATTGGTTGCAAGAAGAGTTTTCAATTAGTTGAGCTACAAATAACACATCTAGATTATGAAAAAGCACTTGTAAAGTAATATTGTACAAGCCTCTAGGAAAAAGCTGTGCTTCAATTCACTTCCAAACACAAAAGGTAACACGTCTTCATTTTGCTGCCTACTGAAAGAAATGAACATGCACCAGAGATGCACTAAGTGCATCCTCTGCGTGGAAATCCTATCCCATACCATCCAATACTGCAGCTTCCTCAAATGTTTTTAAAAGTACTACTTGAAGGGATAGTTAAGCCAAAATCTATTTTTCAAACTCATTTTGATATTTAASGTGTAATTTAGGAACTGTCCAAAGACTAGTTCAGTGCTAGTCACTTGAACATTTTCTAAAGCTTTTTAAATGTGCCGATTCAGCATTTAGGGCATAATTGCAAGATCAAGCCAGTTTAAATAATTTCAGACCAGTCCTATGGGAGCACGTAGCTGATGAAGAGACCACAAATAATTTGCTATTTAGTAAGCTTAGTAGAGCAAGCATTTCAGAAGCAGGTTGTGCTGCAAACAGCAGGCTCAGAGCCAAAAAAGTGAGGCACCCAGTGCTTACCTGTTCAATATTATAGCCACCACTGAGAGCAGCTGCATAGCCTCCTACAAACACACCACCAGGAAGCAGGTACAAGTAGTTGTACTCAGGTGGATCTGTGGGACGCTTGAACATATCCAGCATTCTCTGAGTTACCAGAAATCCACCTGGCAGGAAAATAAAACAACAACAACAACAATAATAAACACATGCCAAACTGTTAAAAAAAACTACCTTCGTTAAAGCATGTTACCAAATGGTTAAAGCACTCTGTAAAGCTACTAAGTTGGATAAGATATTCACCAGGAAAGAAACGTGAGATTATTTATTATTATTTATTAATTATTATTTTCCCCTTAGCTGTTAGGAGGCCTTTGAAAGCCCAAAGGATTGYCTCTAACTCCATACTCCAAAACAAAAGGAACCTTAAGATAGTCTTTTAGATAGTTCAGATGACTCCTAGGAAATAGTTCTTCCTTTATTCATGTATCCTATTTCCATGATGGTATTTCTCTAATCTTTACACACAGAGAACTAGAAGAAATACATGAATTACACAAGTACTTTAAGTAAGCTTAAGAAAAAAACCACACTCATACCTGCAATATTGACAGATGATATAAAGGCAGAAAGCACTGCCAGAGTCTGAGGAGTATTTTCAGGCATATAGTGTCCTCCCATCAAAACGAGCCCACCAACTGCAGTTAGTCCTATTTAAAAGAAGAAAGAAGTTACTGAACTTAAACAGATTCAGGATTAGAGAAAGCTTCCTTCCAACAGTCAAACAGATATTGGTTAAGTCCTGTACTGTACTCTCCACATAAGTACCTAAACAAAGCCATGAACTTCTTTTCTCCTTAATAATACAAACATATTTCAAAAGAATAAATATATATGAACACAGTTTTGAAGGGCCATCTCTCAAAAGGGTGGGGGAGTAAGGGAGCTGATCAGCTGAAAACAATGTTTTCAGCTGCAGGCAACCAGAACTCAGAACTGGTCAACTTTGCTTTCATTATTCAAATGGCAAGAGACCATCCCAGTCCAACAGCGATTGTACAGCAGAAAGGACATTCATGATGATCAGATCAAGTTCTGAAGCAGTTTTGTTTTCCTTTTTGTAAAGCAGTGAGAGTTACAAGGCTGACAAGTCATTGCTAGGAATTACCTGGGAAACTTTTACATTGTTTCTGAAGAGACCAAGAAAGGAAGAAAGAAAAATTTTATGGGCAAAATTTTGGAGAGATTTGAAGAAAGATGTATTGTGAGTTGTATGAAATGGGAGATTGCAATGGGAGATTTACTCCAAGTAAAGCAAAACTTTAAACCAGATGCTTTAAAGAGCAAAAAATAACTTAAAAGATCAAGGACATGCAGCACCACGTTCACCCKTCTTTTGAAAAATACACTCTTTGGAAGAATGTGCTTCAGATATGGTTGCTATTTATGAAAGTAACCTCAGAGGTGCAAAACGGTGCTAGACTTTTTAGGTTTTTAAACACATAGAACACAGACATTTTAGAATTTTAAACCCTCTCAATATGTTACCTGAAGTTGAAGTAAACGGAATTGTGCCACGCTCATACAGAAAACAAGCCATTCTGTAGCAGCTGCTCACCTGAGATAGCATTAGTCACTGACATGAGCGGAGAGTGAAGAGCAGGGGTCACCCCCCAGACCGTATGGTACCCCACGATTCCAGCAAGGCCAAATGTTGTCACCATTTGTGTGAAAGCAGCGTTTGGAGCCACAATGCCCAGTCCTAACATGGTAGCCAAACCTAGAAGAAAACAATTAATAAAGCTTTTCAGTGACTTCTGAATGGTTTCTTATGTTCAAGCTCTGTACGTTAGCCCAGCATTGAGCTAAACGCCAAAGCTTTGTGAACAGACTGTTTCCAAGAGCAGATGGATTGTCTTTGTTCAGGAAGAGGCTCTAAAGTTGCTGGTGTTTTTTTAAATAGAAAATACACAAGCTTTATGCAGTCACTTTTGTTACACATGCAACTGAAGCAGAAAAGTTTTCTTCCCTACCACTGCCTCCTATCACTCTCCCGTTCTACGGTAAAAACACAGAAGATTCATGATCATGTTAAAGTGCTGCAAGACTTCAAAATAATGAATACTCAATTTATTAACACAAAATTCCTGATGTGTGCCRGTCATTAAAGAGGAACTGCAAGCATTTACCTGCGAAGACAACTCCTGTGCCCAATATTTATGTAAGATGTGGACATTTAAGTTGCACAATCCCTAAAGGTTTAAGAAAGCAACGTCAATAAATTGATTCTGCTGTGAAGCATATATGCAGTCCCTTGCAGGAGTCCTGCAAGACTGTAGGTATTTTACTGAGGTTTAATTAAGAAAGACAGAAACATATTCACGCTCACAGCATAACTCAACACTGCTTGAAATCATAACCTGTTTGGTAAAGTTTCTGAAGTTTTACACTACTCAAAATTAATTATTGCAGGACAYCGAGTTTGTACTAGGATATATAAGCCAACCAACTGCTCTCTCAGGTAGCTACTAAGTTGAATGACGAAGATGTGCAGTCACTTAAGATATTAGCCAAGTAAGAATCACCCCACAGTGATTCTCCAGCTGTGGAAGTTGCCTACCTGTTGTATACACAGATGCACTAGTCATAGTTTTTCTAAAAGGTGTAATAGTAGCTGCTTTTTCTGCTTCCAGCTCTGCTACAGTCTTCTGCTTCACAGGGGCTCCTTGAGGAATGTTATTTGGTGGAGGTGCTGGGAAAATTACCTTGCCATCCTGACAAGAGATATTTACAGTTATCTCTAACATAATACATGCTTTAAGAAAGTAAGAGTCCAGTCTTCTTTATCCTGCAGTTCAGCTGGGCCTCAACATCTCAGAGCCATGACATAGGAACAGCTGTTCCTCTTTCCAAATAAGTGATAGTTTATGAGTCTGGAAGAGCTGTACAGCCTGACCAAATGAACCAGATCAATTCACACATTTTTCTGACAGGATTTAACATCAGTATCCCAGAACACCTGTGAACACAGTACATGACCCAAAGCCAAAATAAGAGAGTCTGAGAAATTCATTAATGGAAATTATTTTTTCCAAAATAGAACAGGCCAATGGAAATGACTAATCCTGCTGCARATCCAAAATGCAGCAAGAACCTGCTCAGCAAGGTTCCAGACATGGTGTCTCACACTCCCTGTCAACCTCAACATTGCAGACACCATTTCAGCAGCTGGGAAGAGCTGAAGGCAGCACAATGCTTCCTCCACAGTAGGTAACAATAAGCATTAGAAACCCTTGGTAAAGTTACCCAGCAACTCAAGAGAAAACAAATCAATAAATAAAAGGAGTAACACTTACTTTAACTACAGATTATTATTTTCTAAAAGAACTTGCAAGTATTTTGTATGTCAGGTTGCACCAAGAGAGCCCAGGCCTTAAATTTGTATTAGGCAGACAAAGACAGAAAAATGTAAATCGTAGTAATAGTGGTGTGACCAGAGAGAAGTACACAGGAAAGCCAGCAATACAATCCTATCCAGCTCTCTAAACCTGAGAGAACTGAACTCACTAAACAGATCTATTTGATGAGTTTATTATCATGAACAGTTAAATTAAGTTCCTTCTGGACAGGAACACACACACACCAGGAACACACTAAGCACATATATTTCATCTTTTCTGAGTCTAGAATTCCTGGTCTTATTTCAAGCCTCCTGGACAAGTATCTAAGGGAGACAAGTATCTAAGGAGACAAAGCTGCACTAGGTACAGAAGGAGCAATGTGCTGGTTCTCTCCTATGACAACCCAGCCCATAATCATGTATTTTTCCTCAGGAAGAGGAATGTATACTCCTGATATTCACATCGTGCCTAYTCTGCATCCGGATTTCAGGGATTTTTTCCCTACACTTCCGTGTGTAAGAGAAAGCTCTGTGTAAAGAAGACAAAATAAAACAACAACAAAAAWCCACCACAACCTACTTGGTTCAATTTAAACATTATTCTCCTGAAATTACTCTTAGAGAATAAAAATGCATTTATTAAAAYAGCCTAAAGGGGGAATACTTTCCAGTCCTCCAGTATATATTTCAAAAATATGTTAAATAACCTGTTTTTTTCAATTACATGAATAAAATCTGTGTATTGAAGTAAAATACTTCTCATTTTTTAAGTAACAGACATATTAAGCATTTGTTTAATCATGATAGGTACAAAAAATTCAGAGAAGCAGAAAGACTTCGCTTTACAAAAAAGGGAATAGAGCACCATTCAAATCAATATGTATGTGATTACATATACTGCCTACCCCACAAGCTCCCTGTAAAGCATGCAACCTCTTTGAATACAGCACTGAGAAACATCAAGTTGCACCCCAAATTAGGAGGATACCACTAATTGACTTACCTTCATTACTACAGTTCCCCTTATAACATGATCCAGAGTGCCATAATCAAAATCATCTTTTGGATCAAAGTAGAAATTCTCTTTGTCAGGACTAATAGCCTTTAGGAGTTTGATGATGTTGTTGGAATACAGAGTACTGGCCTGGGTAGCCATTCTGCTAGGCAGGTCTGTGTAGCCAATGTGTGTAACGCCCTTAAAAAAAAAAACACCAAGTATTAAACATTCACTGAATCTCTTAAAACACATTTTCAGGATATACTGGAAAGAGATGCTATACCCAAACAGTTCAGTTGATTCTTCTCAATTTGTTTTAGATTTGGTTAGAACTGTTACTGCAGCTTCACCCTCAGTAGTCGAAGGCAGGGCAGGCTGTTATTCACGGCTTAGAAAATTTAGCATGACCTAACTAAACATCTTAAATGCAACAAGCCTGGAAAGAGAGGAGGTGGTCCTGGTGTAAGAGCTTACCCTCTTCAAGTATTACCTTCCTCTCAAAAATCAGCCTCTTAAAACAGTCAGGTAACAGATTATCTGATGCCCATTGCTTGGCWTCAATCCTACACTACACCCAAGAGTACTCCTCCTCTGCCTAAGGTGTCTCCATGTCAGGTCTCCCCATAAGTATCTGGTTATTTCTGCTCTGCATATTCTGCCTGCAAGTTCAGCTTTTAAGTAGTGACATCAAAACCCTAGAAAAACACAAAGCTAAACACAATGCCTGACACATAATACATATGCACTGCCTGTTTATACTAACGATACCAAAGGCAATGTGATGTTAAACAGCACATGCTACAGACTGCCTGGATAGAGCAGGATAAAAACAGCAGTATGGCTGCACATCCTCTAAGGACTTTGGAAGTCTACTACTCTGACTCCATCAACCAGATCGTTGCAACTGGCAATGGGTTTCTCATGTGTACACCTACCCCCTGCCACTGAAAACAGCAGCTCTCAGTTGAGCTTATAAATATCAGGAGGAAAAAACGTGTTTTTTCACACATAGTGCCTTCTGTCAAGGGCAAGTTTGCTTAATGTTGTGAACTAATTCATGCTACTTGTAGTTTGCACAATAAGGGGGTTTGATACTCTAGGCCAGATATATTAACATTGAAAACAGCTATAGAAGTTGAAGATGGACAGCACCCTCTTGAAGCTGAAGTCATGTTGACCCAGAGCCAAAGACTCTGCACTGAAACCAACAGTGATATGGGCTGCCCTTGCCCAGTGTGTCTGTTACAGAGGCTGTGGGCACAGCTGTAGGAGGTGACAGCACACTAAGATGCTGCTGCTCCATCCTCTTTACACAGGCCACATATGAGACCAGACTCTCAACTCAGCAGAGACACATTCACTGGCTTCAAAGTCTAGGGTATCACGYTTCCTTACCTTACCAACCTAACTAACTCTATACAGAGGAATTTGATTAACATCCTTCAAATTATATATAATGCAACTTTGACAAAATTCAAATCAAAAGGATTTAAACCCAAATGACAGAAGCAGCTACTCATTTTCAGCACTCACTTTACAAAATACAATCTTCAAAGTATGAAATTGAAATCACAAACTGGAAACGATCTGCTGTGCAAAACGCTCACCTTATGAACATACAATTCTCCAGGCTTTGTAGTTTCAATGTTTCCTCCTGCTTCTGCAGCTAAATCCACAACAACTGAACCCTCCTTCATTGATTCAATCATATCTTTTCTAAACAAGACAGGAGCTTTTTTACCTGACAAGGCAAGACATAGTAAATTAAACACAAAATACACCTCTAATCTGTAAAGCCCAAGAGACAAGTTTTCTCCTCATATCTCCATAAACCTCGCACTTATATTTATAGGGCTTTTTTTTGTTGTTAAAGATGAAATGTCATAGAGAACTTGCCTAAACAGGCAGAGAAAAGAGATGCTGGAACATCTTGCACCCATGCACATACGCAAGGCGTTCATGGGCAGTCTACCAAAGATCTCAGAAAGTCCAATTCCATCCTTAGTAAACAGACAACTTCCAAACTTACAATTCAAGTTAGAGGCAAGCAATAAAAATGCAACATTATAGGTTAACACTGTTGTGCAATACCAAGCACTGAGCCCTACGTTTTATCCCACAGTGTTTCACTTAACAAGACACAGCCCTATTGCAACCAGACATGCTTCAGTGCAGATACTRGATGTCAGGAACAACAGCGATACAATAAATATGCAAATACATATACATTCTTGTTTTACTGTCTACTGTCAAAGAKGTTAGTTTGTAGCAATATAACAGCGTGAGTAAATATTTACTATGTTCTTAAAACAATTCAAKGGTTTTAATATAGAGAGCTAAACATATATTTTAGATATTTTTTTCCTCAACTGTAGGGTTGACTCCAGTGCACCAATACTACAACCAGCAAGTCAGAGGAAYCTTCAACATCCTGCTCAAAGAGCTCAAGGTTTTGCGAAGAATCAGAGGAGGAACAGAGTAAATTACATAAGCACTCACAGAAAGCTCAGACAAATGAGACATTCCAGAAGATCCTTTCCAGCAAGACAATCTTTAAGTATAGAACACCACAGAGCAATCTAAGCATTATTTCCCTGCAGCTAAAACTTTTTTCCTCCTTTTCTAGTTAAATCATTGTTGCCAAAGGAAAAAAAACAGGCATTTATCAAGGAAGGGGAAAGTACATGCTTACAAAGGGCTAATTTTGAAAGTATTCCTTTGTTTTCACTGCAGGAACATCCCCAAAATACACACGTTTACATAAAATAAAAACTAGCATGTAAAACATACCTGTAATAAGTTGTGTTGTGATGAGGATATCAACGTCTTGGTGCTGTTTAGCAAAGAGTTTCATTTCAGAAAACTACCGTATTTGCATGTAAAACGTACCTGGAGTAAGTGCTGTAGTGATGATGATATCAGCATCCTGGCACTGTTTAGCAAAGAGTTTCATTTCACAAAACTTAGCATGTTACATGTAAAACATACCTGGAATAAGTGCTGTAGTGATGATGATATCAACATCCTGGCATTGTTTAGCAAAGAGCTTCATTTCAGCTTCAATAAATTCTTTAGACATTTCTTTAGCATAACCACCTTGTCCCTCTCCTGATTCCTTTAAGTCTACTTCCAAAGGCTCTGCACCAAGAGACTTGAATTGCTCCAGAGCTGCAGCTCTAGGATAAGAAAGTTAGATTACAATAAGATAGACAGGTAGAACTACTGAGAAAAGGAAGAAAAAAACAGAACAAAATAAAAACACTCAGTTTTATAGCAGTAACTCAGTATACTTTGAGTTTTGAGGCCACTTTAGTAGTAGTTGTCTTCAGACAAGTGACACAAAGCTCATTCTAGGACTAAGGAGATCAGGATAAAAGTTTTTATTTGCTAAGCGGAACAGAAGGAGCATTTGCATCACTAATTTTAGGATCTTTACAAGTCCATTTTGTTTAGGAATTAGGGCAGCCTACAGTTTCCTGTAGAATCAAATGAAGTTACTCTGAGTGGAAGCCAAAGCTGGAAGCTTAACCATTAAGACTGCCAACCCACTTCTCTTGCCTTCACTAGATAGCTAAAACCTTAACTTAGACGCCTGAAGAGAGAAAAATACACACTACACAGCCTGTGTGCCCGTCTTTAATCTGTGACATGGGAATACCAGTAAGTGCCTTTCCATAGGGAATGCAACAGAGCTTTTAAGGCCTCTGGATACTATAGAGATCAGAATCATCAGGATTTCAGATGGATGACAAAATCCTTTGAAAAACTAGTTTCACTTCAGGTTATGCCACAGAATAAAATGACACACTAAATTCCCAGGGTGAGGTGAATATTCACTATATGCAGGTGTTTACTACAAACATTCTCTTACATCAAGATGAAGTACATTATATCTGAAAAGTTCTAGACAGATTTTGATCATGCTTTTAAGCAAAATGATTCCTTCCAGGTTGTTTTATGAAGCTATGAAACTGGATCAAAAACTGTAAATGAGAACACAGATTCCCCCCCACACACACACACACACACTGTTTTGCCTTGTGTCCTCAGAAGAGCACAGACAAAATTCTGAACAAAAGCCCTATCTTTCTCATTTTTATAAAGCAAGACTTTTTTGATTCATATACCTATGATTTAATAACATGGACTCTTTGGAAGGTTTACTTGATAACAGGAAAAAAAAGGAAGAATAATGCAGAAACAAAAGCAGCAGGCAAGAGTTGCAACTCAATGCAGCTTTTGCAGTAGTACAGACAGCTACATGGTGWCCAATCATGAATCCATCCTGTAGAGCCATGACTGTTTTCACTCACCCACCTGGTGTCAAACCCACGAACCACTGCACCCATCGACTTGGCTGCTCCTGCAGAAGCCAGGCCAGCTACTCCTCCTCCRATGATCAAGACCTAGAATGATAACATTATCATGCTTGGACCATAAATCACAAATAGAGGTGGCCAGAAAGCAGTCAGGCCGAAATACACTCACACACAGCGGAGACAGAGACATTTGAGCAAGTTACTTCAGCAAACAAAACCTAAGCAGACTTTGGTAAACTGGTCCCTTAATAGTSATAACTTTTAAACTGTTACTTTTAACTTCACCTCTCTATGGCTAATTTAAGAGAGGAAATGAAGGATYCCTGTCTGGTTTATTTTAATTTTCTACTTTTTTTTTTTTAATTTTTTGACTTTTTTTTAAAGCTCTCACACTTTCCTTTCTCTCCATCCMAATCCATTTGCAAATTTAGTCAGGCAATCCCTTCCATCACAGTCCTTACACAGCAGAGCCCTTAACACCTCTAACCTTTCTTTCCTGCTTTTTTACTGCTACTTACTACATCTTTCCTCACCCATTCATGCATAGTCTGAAGTTTAAAAATAAGCAAACAAATAAAACTCAAATTATTCTACTCTTCCTCCAAAAAAGGATAAAAGCAGTGAGCAAAAATTACTAATCCCAAATGAGGAAAAGCTTCTAGCACAAGCAGTTGTTAGGTGCACTCAGGAAATGACCTATTCTTCCACTCAAAGACTTGTTTTATTGTACATACCTTGGCTGGAGGAACTTTACCAGCAGCTGTGATCTGACCCGTGAAAAAACGACCGAAATGATTTGCTGCCAACACAACAGCCTTGTAGCTGCCAYGCAAGGAAGACGAGAACACATTTCAGTATTTTCTCCAATAGGGACAACCTAATGCCATCCATTGACAGCAATCAAAAGAACACCATCTGGACCAAAGAATGTATATGATGAACCGAGTTTAATGCTTTACTCTGGGGCACAAATTTAATACTCTGCCTCTGCTCATATTCATCACTACATTTTTTTTTTACAATAGACTTGGAATAGACTTGTCAGAGAGACTGAGTAGACAACCATCTGCTGGCTGTCCATAATACATTAGGTTATTTAACCTAACAAAAAAGTTTGTCATCTTTGAAGCTGCCTTCAAAGGCTACAGCCCCCAGGCTTGTTAGAGAAGGAGTCRCATAGAAGCAACTACAAAACCCCCAGTAATTTTGCAGTAAGCATTTAGGTAGGCAAACAACTTCAAATAAGATACTCTTATCCCAGCTGTGCAGAACTGTATGGCAGAGAACAAGCTGCTTAACCTTTCTACCTCTGCTGTATCTGCTTTTGTAGCCATCCTAGAATGGATGCCTGGACACTGAGCTAACATCAGCACAAATATCTGAAAATGCTGATTATTATGGACTTGCATCTTTTCTTAAAGACAAAAGAAAATGTGCACTCTCATCAACACTGACATTGKTCAACATTTCCGTTCTACTCTTTCTGATCTCTAGCAGATATATCTACGTCTGGTGTCCTAAAACTAGTTCTCATTTCTAATATGACTTTTAGACTTCATACCTCTAAACACATTATACATTTCCATTCTATTTTAGTAAAAATACAGAATGAAAACTCAGACAAGCAACCAAATCACTATATWCTTGAGGTGTGTCCACAAAATACACAAAATAGTTCAGTCTTGTGCTAGGGCAAGTCTTAATATACCCTACGAGCATATGTCACCTACATATGAAGTTCAAAAAACAAAACAAAACTAGCAATTTAATTATCAAATCAGTCCCAACAAGATTAGACGCTAGAGACAGTCTGTGTTCAAGCTGCCTTAAAACAGCTCTGATCTTGTCCAGAGTAAAGAGGTACTAGACAAACCAGTCCACGAAATAAAAGAATCCAAGTATTTAAAAAAAAAAAAAAAAGTTCTGATTTGAGAAAGCCCACTTTGTCAGGCACCTCCAACAAGTTCATCCTACTTCAAAAAGATGTGTGAAAATAAAGACAGAGAACAGTCTTAAATACACCTAATACCGAAATATGATTTAAAAAAAAAAAAAATCAAAAATCATACCCAGCAATGTTAGCCATGGAGCTAAGTGCATCATATCCCTGAGCAATGGTGACTCGTGGAACCTGGTCCATGGCCAGGACAGTAGCTTTTTTTTCTGCAAGTTTATTCAGGAGGTCTGGATTTTGAGCTGGATAGATGAAGCTAATCAGGGTAGCAGCTGTCTTAAAAAGGTCTGCTTCATGTACACCTAGTTCAGGGTTATGTATCGGAGCCCGCACCTGCAGAAAGAGAGAAGTTTCCAAATCAGCAGTAGTAAATCAGGACATGCCCTACTTTCTTTTTCACAACTTGTACTCACAAGCACAAAGTATATCAGAAAGTATGAAGGCTATTTGTACAACTAAACTCAGTAACTATTTAGCTACAGTTCACAGATCAGAGTTAGATCAAATAACAACAGAAAGTTAATTTTAGAAGAAAAAAGACAATGGAAAATATATTAATAATTACTTTGACAACTAAATCTGAAGCCAGTACTTCCTTGGTCCCCTGGATCTTTGCTCCTACTTCCCTGTAATGGTCGTCAGAAAATTTGGAAGCTTCTCCAGCACCAGATTCCACCACAACATTGAAGCCTTGCTTAACCAAAGCTTGCACTCCAGCCGGTGACAAAGCCACCCTCTTCTCATTCTGAAATATCTCCTTTGGGACACCTACAGTCAGTTGCTTATAAGGAATTCCTGCAAGAGTAACAGATAGGACAGCATTAGTTGCATCAAAGAACTTGAGGTTTTCTGAACTGATACTAATGACACTGATCAGTGCTGCACAATGACATTCAGCCAGTCGCATTTAGTCACATTCAGTCCTCCTCCTCAGGAAGGAGGAGGCAGAACCACATTTTCCACCAGTGTATCTTACATTTCTTTAAATTAATTGTATGCCATCTTTCCAGACATCCCTGTTTCTTCARATACCAACAGATCAATGCAGTCACCGCAAAAGCACTAAGAGGTATCTGATGTAGTTCATACCCATCTCAATCTTAATTTATTCAGTCAGTTTCAGTATTCTGGAAATATTTCTAAACAGGAATAAACGCACTTAACTTCCTCTATTTGTTTCAATTTTTCTCTAAAGAAGCAAATGAGCTGAGCAGCTTATCTGCATTTTAACTGAACATGAGTTCTGAATGTCTATTAAAAACAATTACACAGCAGCTGTTTCAGTTCACTATTACTGAGTTTAAGTTATGTATCACAGGAAAAAAATGAAGTCCTCAGTGCTTGGACCATTGCTACAGACATTAAAAACTGGAATTTTGKAGTATCTGAATAATTGAACGTCTGACTATGAGTTCACTCAATTATACTTCAATTTTATCTCCCTGTTTTAAGGTATTCAAGTCCTACTAAATAATGCCAGGAAACTTACAGAAGCTGCRATTTATCAGCTTTAGCTTAAGGCATCACATTACAGACCTCTAATTTTATCTACAATTTGAGGACCTCAAGATATTTCCAGCTGAACTTCTCCAATACAATCAAGTGTTCAACTTAATTTTATGCATACATGATCTCAGGCAAGATAATCATATATGGAGTTACCATATTCCTTCAATTACACAAAACCACATGGAGTCCAGCATGCAAGCTCCGTTCCACAACAGCTTTCACGGATATCTCTCCAAAACTTAAACTTTGCCTTGTGACATTTACACGAGAGGCGTACACCACATTAACTGCACTGCTATGAACAGAACTTAAACAGCCCGAGAAGCCACTCATATTAAAGACCAAGCTAAAAAAAAAAAAGAAAAAAGAATTGATGATTAAGACCTGGTTTTAAATAACATATCTTTTAACTTGACATAAACAACTTTGACGAATACATATTTCGTTGCGTTTAAAAACAATACCAGACAGTATCTTGTATGCTTTTAAAAAAAGTCCTTTTTCCTGCATTTTGACATTTGTAAATCTAAGGTTCTTACAGGTATGAAATGGAACTGGGACTAGCAGGTGCTTAAAGTTAAAGATCTTAWGATATTTTCAAATAACAGTTCTCACGGTGTGCCACACCACTTGTAACRTTCTGAAATATAATGCATCGGTGCTACGAATTGGGATTTTAAAAGTTTACCCACACTCAGTCTCACCATCCATTAAAAAAAGACTGCACATATCCAACAAGAAGACAAGATAAAAACTCACAAGGCAGAGAAGTGCATTACTTATTATTTCTATTCTGCCTTTCATATCTTCCTCTTTAAAATTAAACTGATCTAATAGTAATAAGTCATTCTAAGACAGAAGCTTTTAGTATTCATTTAAGAACACGTTAGATTCCTTAGATTAGTAGGTAACACCAAATTCAAAAAGCATATTTTAAAGGAACAGAATATGYATCTGAAACAAAAGAGCTAGAGAAGTAACAATGTGCTTTGTAAAGATTTGCTCCATCAGCACACAGCACATTCCAACACCACAGGGCAGCTTAAGGCATCACTACTGCAGCACCACCAGCCACCCGAAAGCTACGGCAGCTGCTGACACCCCCCACGGAAACACTCCTGCCTTCAGGAGGTGGCTTCACTGCAGAGCACTGAACAGTTGAGGGGAAGTTTGCTGCTTTCATTACAATAGTTCAGTGGGAAAAAAAAAAAAAAAAAAAAACACCACCACTCTCACTCTTCAAAGGCAGCAATAAAATTTAACAGATACAATTCCTTTCTAGAATAACAAATATGAATTATGATTTGGGAAAGGTGAAAGCTTCAGGGCAGAAAGCTTTCCAAAAAGCTCTGAAAAACATAAGAATTAAGTACTACCTTCTCTTTCTCCTTTTCCAAGTTTTATAGTGCATGGAGGCAGGGGAAGGACGGAAATGGTTACGGCACACAGACACTAAGGATGACTGCAAATTCAGAGGTGTACAGACAATTCACATGAGTTAAAAGCTCTAAGTTTTCTATTCATAAAACGCAAGGTCCCAGCACAAAGAACAACTGTCGCTTCTGTTTTCCTTTTTTTTTGGTCCATTTGCTTTTGTGTGGAAGACTAAACCAGAAGAGCAAGTAGGTGAGAGGGATGGGACAGAAGATGCATTACACGCCAAACATGTTCCCTCATTTTCTTCATTTATATTGTTAGGTGTGTCTTGCAATAAAAATATGTAAAGCTTTTCCAGAATGAAAACATTTGCAACTTCTTTAGTAAGCAGAATGGCCAGAGACCAATCAGGAGGACTATGCCCACCTCCAGCTTTGGAAGATAAAATACGTCTCATTCTTCTCACACTCTCTTATCCCTCTACGCTACTACTGACTTTCTAGCAATCAAAATATAAGTGAACAGTGAAGCAAACAGATTTCAGTTTGCCTGTCTTTAGCTAGAGCAGACACTGTCAATTCATTGAGATGCACAAAACCTTTCTGACATCAAGAATCATTGTGAAAAGAACTCTRTTACTACTACTAAATTCACAAGCCCTAGAATCTCAACATCAGGCATACATATAGTTCAAAAACAAAAGATGAGAACATTGTATTTTTAAATAAGCCACTCCTACAACTATGCTTTCTCCCTTCTCATCATGATCTCCACCATTTAATGAGAAGACAGCAAACCAGGCTCATAAAGCTATTTGTAACCCTTTCTTCTCCATTATTTAACTTCTATCTACTAACTGAACATTTAAAGAACATCCTAAAGAAAAACATAACTTTCTGCCTAGTTACTCTGATTCCAGGAGGCAGAAACAGTATCAACAAGTGTTAGAGAATGACCTAAAGGAAACTGAGGGAAGTTTCGACTCAATGCTGCATTTCCTGAGATGAGGAAAACGGGATATAAACTTGCACAATTACTAAGATATTCTAAAATCAGTTTTAAATGAACCATCTCACCTGTTCTGAAGTAAGACGAGGATGTATTCTGAAGAACAGCAATATGATGTAGGCAAGAAAAAGAAATGGCATAGAAGATTAAACACACACACACACACACCTTATCTCTCTTCTCACACAAGTAKGGAGAAACAAAAGAAATTAAACTAGAGAAAAATATTTATGCTTTATAAACAGTTTACATCTCATCTATAGAATTAACAGTATAATATTATGGGTTTAAAAGTCTTGAAAGATTTTTTCTTTTTTCTTTTTTTTTTTTTTTCCAAATGAAAGCTTTATAACAGGAAGGGCATGAAAAAATCCTAAAACAGAGAAGGGTAAAAGCCACAACGCCACAGGATACAAGCCAAGTGGAAGCACATTGGAAAAGCCAGAATCAGTTACTATGTAGGCTGCTATTACCAGGGCTTGGGCAAGTTTTGCATTTATGGCTGAAGCATCTGGTACTGGCCATTGATTAAGATGTAAATATATACAGGAATGTTGCTTATTCCTGTACAGAAATTCCTGTTTCTGAGAAACAAGAAAACACAACAAAACAAACAGCAAGAGGAAAATAACAAATAGTGATATGAAAGCATGCATCCTCCTACTTTACTTTTCAAGTGAATTTAGGTTTCTTCTTTACTACTCAAGCAGCTGTGTATAACGTACATTCATTTGTACATGTCTATATGTGTGTATATATATATATCAACATTCCTGTACATAATACACACTGGACACTGTGAAAGCTAATTGTAATAACTACAGGCTTGAGAAGAATTAACRAAACATTAACTATTTCAGCAAGCTTATTCTTCTGGATAACGTCACAATGATTTTACCAAGTGTCATTATATTTAAATATTAATTTCTAAAAGAAATAAAATGTAGTCTTTTATATACAGTTGAATTTTGATTCCAAAATTCTTTAAAGAGCATATGTGGTCCACAGCACTGTTGAAGTGTCATTCAGTTACTGTTTTTATCCTTGATTTGTCCTCTATCAAATGACAAATCTCATATTACCGAAGTAAAACAAAAGGACAGTTTAATTATCAACCAAGAGACTTAATCAGATTTTACAACTCTCAGTATTAAATAACTGTCTTGCATGAATATAAATACTGCTTTTCCTCAATAAAGTTCTCGTGGAAACCTTCAGGAAAACGTATTCACCAAACCCATGTAAATCCCATGTAAAAAGGCTTTWCTAAGCTACAGAATCCGATCTCTTATTCTGTATTTTGACAACCAGACAGTTCTGATCATTAACGGTGCTACTTTTCTAGGCCTCCAAAGACCTAACGCATCACCTACTGTGCAAGGGTGGGAGACCTGACCATCACTGTACAATCAGTCCAACCAGACTAATTCTTCACATACATCTTAATCCATCCCAGACTCAGAAGATCCCAAAATGAGTGCTGAAGCCTCTCAATTCCTTCAGGGAGTCCTGGCTCATGCAGAGTAAGGGGCAAAAATAGCATTAAAATACTTCTGCAGGTTCTTCAGTCCTCTAAGTTGTCCCGATACAGATCCTTCCCCTCCCCATTACCTTTATTATTATAGTGTCRGCATTAAAAACACCAACACATCCTGTAAGTGAAGATGTAGCTCAAAGCTGGAAGACAGCACGACATTAAAAAGTTTCCTGAACAAAGTCAGGCATTCTTCAGACGCGACAGTTAGTTCATATACAGCCACGCTGGCCGGCAGATGCTCTTTTCCCAAGAGATGCCTTTCCCATATGTACACAAACAACCAGCAAGCAAATCTCCTGGAGAATCAGGGCCGTTTCCCAAGAAAAGCATTTGTTTGATTACTGTCTCCAAGCAAGACACTTGTCTGCAGTAGCTCTGATCATCTGCCTGCAAGGACTATTTAGACACAAAGTATTCCCAGTGAACATGAACTCCTTCTGCAGGAGTCCTAGAAAAAGTGTAAGACTATATTACAACCATTGACTTACTGATTGACTAAATTAGCTGTTAACATGATATAAGAGGGTTCCTTTTAATCTTCTTCATAAGAAGGCACCTGCCTTCCTTCCCCACCAAAGGAAAGGAAAACCAACAAACAAAAAGCTATTTCAGGAGCTTGTTTAAAACCTTTGGGGTATAACAAGAAACGTGTACATATACGTCTGTGCTGGCGCAGGCAGCTTACCTGGTTTCAGCGGCGCCTGGGAGCGCAGCGCGCGGTGGGTGCGGAGCATCCGGACAGCGGGCGGCCCGGCCGGGGTCGCGCTGGGCGGCAGCAGGGCGCCGAGGGCGGGAGCGGAGCCGCCGCCGAGGGCGACGCGCAGGAGGCTCCTCATGGCGCTGGCCTCGCAGCGCCCTCCTCGACGCTCCGGGGTCCCTCGTGGGCTCCTGCGCGCGGGAGAAATGCACCAGGGTTAGAGAAACACACCAGGGGCGGCGGTGACACGGGAACCACGGCGGGGACGCTCGGTGGTCTCGGCCCGGCTGGCACCGGCCAGGGACAGGCAGCTCTCCCGGCGCTTATAGGGCTTATTTTCAGCTGGAAAACAAAGTCCACCTTTCCACACCAAAGCTGGGCAAATACAAACATCCAACCCGTAAGCTCACGGGACAGCTCACATTGCAGGGTGGTTTACAGACTGGTGTTTCTGTCACTCAGGACAAGAATTCTCCTTGACACAAGTGCAAAAATTAAAAAAAAAAAAAAAAAGTTATTTGCCAGGAAAAAAACCGCCGGCCAAGCCCGTGCTACGAGGCTCGGGCACTCTGCAAGTCCKTGCTGCGACCAAGGCACCGTGCGCTCGCGCCGCTATTTATAGCCCGCGGGCCCAGCCTGACCTTGGCGCGGCCGCCCGCGCCGCCGCCCCGGGCCGCCAACGGCCGCCCGCGCCCGCCCTGCTGCTCCGCGGAGCCCGCCCGCCGGCGGCTGCCCCGCCACGGCGGCTGCGCGCCCCGCGCCGCCCTCCGCGGACCAACGGCCGCCGCCTGCCCGCGCCCCCCGCTCACCCGCCCGCGAGGGCAGAGAGTCCCGGCGCCCCCCGCACCCACCGGCGAACGGCTCTGCCCTCCCGCCCGCGCCGGCCCCGCCGCGGCACTGACCGACCTTGGCGGAGGGGCGGGGCAGCCGAGGCTCCGCCCCGCCACCCGGAAGGAGTGCGGCGAGCGCGGCGGTCACGTGCGCGCACGTTCCCGCCCGATCACGGAGGGGTGGGGAAGGGGGCGCGTCACGTGCGCGTCACGTGCGCGTCACGCGGCATCTGCGTGCGCGGCTTGTGCTTCAGGCAGGTGGGCGTGGCTGAGTGTCCGTTAACGGCCGCACGCGAGGCTCCGTCCTCAGCGTCCGTTAACGGCTCCCTCTGTGGTTTCGTCTTCAGTGTCCGTTAACGGCTGCCTACGTGACTCTGTCCTGAAGGTCCGTTAACAGCTCCCCGCGTGGCTGCCTCCTCGCTGCGGCTCTGCTGGGGCAATCCGCGGCAGGAGCTCCTCAGGGCTGGGAAGGCAGTGGCATCCACGAGGTTGAAGCCTGCATGCTGCTGGTATGCGGGGGTAGGGGCAAGAAGGCCAAGGCAGCAGAGTTTTGAGGAAAAAGATCATTCCTCAAACATGCTTGAACAGGTGCTGCAGCATATACGTGTCATCTTTCTTTACTGACGCTCTTTCTTGAGTCTTTAATCTTTAAAAGCTCGGCATTCCAGCTTAAGTCTGATTTTTAAAATTGCAGTCATTTAAGGACTGGTAGTTTTTGAAAGCTCATCAAATCATCCATTTGCTCTCATTTGAGCTTTAGATGGGGATATATTAGTTAATTAGAACTATTCAGGCCTTTTTACAAGGCTCCATGAGTACTTGAATGTTTTTCATCCCCTCATGAGTCACTGAWAGAGTCTGAAAGAAAATCACAGGTGAGTGCGGAGCAGGGGGACAATGTGGGAATACAGCAAGCCAAGGACCATGTTAGGCACTGGACTCCACAGCAAGGTGTGATCCTGATGTGGTGTTGGCAAACTGAATACAGAAGCACTCTGACAGGCAAAAAACAGGGGAATTCGATTGTGAATGGCTTTGTGAATTAAATCGTTAGTGTTTAATAATATTAGCAGAACATGCTACRTGTTCTGTCCTTCGCGGTTATTTTTAAACCCTCCAAAGTCAGCAGGAATTTGCTGTTACGTTTTTGCATGAGCAGCCAGGTTACACTGAGTAGACCCAGCAGCGCAGTGGGCGCCGTCACGTTGAAGGTTTCGCTTTGCTGCCCTTTAGCTTGCGCTCTTTCCACACAGACATTCCCACGCGGGAGGAGATTTTCCCCACACGTCGCTGTGCCGCGCAGGCAGCACCGGGTGCCTCGAGGAACGACGTTTGCGACGGCCTCGGCGCCCGGCTGCTGCGCGCACCCCTCGCTCCCGGAGGGTATTAGCAGCAAAAGGCGCTTTCTGGCGGCTCCCGAGGAGAGCGGCCGGAGCGCGGTCTCGCCG